GCTCTCTCATTCGTTATAACATGTGTGTTCATAGAATAGTTTTTGTAAATATATGTAAATATCTGTGTGCTCTCTTTGTCTTTCTCACGTGTATGAATCAACATTAAAACAATGTGTTTGTCAACTGTGCGTGCCATTCTTTCAGAACCCTCAGCACCTGCGAATTCAAAACAGGATGATATAGCCATAATTATAAAGAGAAAAAATACAGAAATAACTAGAAATGAAACAGGTTCAGCAATAGGGAATTTAATTAAATTTTTAGAAGAGAGATCATTAAACATCAGAAAAAAGACTCAGGTGGTCAAATTTAATATTAGCAATAAATTTTCAAAAATAATAGTATCCGTTAAAACATCAAGAAAAGAATATATTTTTAAATCACGTAAAGAAACAAAATTTTTAGGTTTAACTATTGATCAAAATTTAAATTATATAAGCCATATAAAGAACATAATAGATAAATGAAAAAAACGAATTCGCATAATAAAATATCTATGTCACGGTCAGAGGGGTATAAGATAAGATCAAGCTATAAATATAACCAAAGCATTAATCTCTTCAACAATAGAATATGCAGCGCCGATATATCTAAATATGAATGGAAATGAATTCCAACAAGAAAAGTTAAGGAAACTAGAGTCAGCAGCGATCCGTGAAGCGATTGGATATAGAATGACAATTAATGTGTTATATGCAGAAAATGGGTTTATAGGTATTCAATTTAGACTCCCCTGTGCTGTCCACCTTGTCGTGGTAGTGGAGCCTTGGGGCAGCGTGCCGGCGCGGCTGCGCCGGGGGGGTGGGGGCGCACAGCGTGAAGGTTTGGGGTGGCGGATCAGACTTTTATGATGCGAGACCGGCGCGCTGCCCTGACTAAGAGGCACCATTGCACGTCCTTCAAAATACCCCACTCCCACACGTACACAACACACTACACTCACATAACACACATATACACACAGTATTCTTATAGTACACTTCATACATTTACACGCAACAGAATAGGTTAAGGTGGTTGTTCCCGCGCGGGGGCCCACTAGAAGTGTTTCCCTCCGGGGCTTAGGGCTACTCCTTGCCCTGCTGGGGGGGCTGATGTGCGCTTGCGCTGCCGAAGTGGTAGCGCCGTACGGGATTTGGAGCCGGTCCCTCCGGGACCCTGACCAGGTAGTGCGCGATGAGGTGCAGGTGTCGGAGCCTGCACTTGCTACGGGCGAGTCCCCCCTGTGTGGTATCCCCGGAGGCGGGGGGGGGGGGGGGGAGAAAAGGGGGGGGGGCCCCCGGGGGGGGGGGGGGGGGGGGGGGGGGGGGTGGGGGGGGCCCCCCCCCCCCCCCCCCAAGAGTATACCCGTTCCCGTACTGCGACCCGCCCCGCCACGAACGATGCGCCGGTGAACTTAGCTAAATATGAATAATAATAATATTAATATTAATAGGAGCAAGAAGGAGGCGAGGAATAACCCAGGGCTGTCGAAGGCGGAGTTGTCCACTCCCGCGGGTTCGAAGAAGCATTTCTACACACCCAAAAGCAGTGCAGTGAGTCTGAACAAGAAGGGACTTCTCCGCCACTGGATGGAAGGAGGGGCACCAAGCGACACTGAGAGCGACGACGAGATCACCCGACGTCGGAGGATAATATGCGGCGAGTCGAGCGAACTCACTATTTTTAGAAAGGGAGGGCCTGTCCGGAGGTCCCCCCTAATAGCCGCGATAGAGGTGAGACGGGGAGTGCATTGAACACTCCCCTGATCACGATCGAGTCGACCCCGAGTTCTCCTTCGGTTAGCCACTCTGATGGTACTGAGAAGACGGAGGATGTAGTTGCGTCGAACACTCGTCCTGCGGATCCCCCGCACGAACCCAACGATCAAGAGGACATAAACAATGAGGATGATGACGGCGGCCCCCAGCCGCCTCTCAGCGATAATGGCTTCGGCATCACAGTGGCCATTCTGGGAAAGCCCAGGCCCTGGGGTCAGCCTTGGCCGAGAAGTTCGGTGCTCAAGTGCCCTCCAAAGTACTGGTTCCCAGGGTCGAGGTCGAGATAAAAGACCTCGACCCTATTGTCGAGAGGAAAGAGGTCCTTGAGGCCTTTGGCCGCCACCTCGGTGTTGAAAGCACTGAGGATATGCGGGTGAAGGCCCTGAGGACCACTACGTGGGGAACACAGGTGGCAGTACTTGAGGTGCCGGCCAGGCTGGCCCCCAAGATACAAGATGGGGGTAAATTGAGGGTGGGGCACGTCCTGGCGAGGCTGCGACTATTCCCCAGAATTCTAAGATGTTTCCGGGGTCACGGCTTCGGACATATTAGTATGAACTGCAGGCTGAAAGCAGATATTTACAGGAAGTGTGGCGAGCCCGGCCATGGCATCGGGGACTGTAAGGAGACGGTCCCCACCTGCAGTCTGTGTGGCAGAGAGGGTGTTACGGCGAAAGACGCCAACCATATAGCGGGCGGAATGGGCTAAGTGTGCCCTCGGGGGGAGAGGGGCGGCGCCCAAGAACAAATAATGGACATACTTCAGATAAATTTGAACAACTGTAGGTTAGCGCAAGAGTTGGTGGTTTACCGATCGCACCGGGAGGTCGGCCATTTGGGTTACGGGACTAAACGGGAAAAGAGTTACCTCGGGATCGGTGACTGCTGGCAATGGGTTTGTGATCGCTGAAATTGGCGGCACATCCATCGCCAGCTGTTATTATACGCCGAGATTGGACCCTGGCCCTGGCTGACAAGCTCGATGATCTGGAGGCTGTGGCTGAGGGGGGG